GKTTTWRWTTKSSKTTWAAAAAAAATTTGTTGACCATTCATATTTCTTCTGTGAAGTGTCTGTTTAGTTCCTTTGCCAATTTATTTATTGAGTTATTTGGTTTTGTTAGTGTTAAGTTTTTTGAGTTCTTTATGTATTAATGCTGTATCTGAGGTGCAGGTGGCAAAGATTTGCCCCCATTCTGTGCAGCCAAAGCATTCTTTGGTGGAACCTTCTGCAGACCCAGCCTGGCAGAAGGAGCTGGGGTGCCAGGGTGAAGAGGCAGAGGTCATGTTCCTGATGTTGATGTGCTCCCACTGGTGAGGAGACCACCAAATCTCAGACTGCCAGACAGGCACACAGGAGCACAGGCCCGGAAGGAGAGGGAGAGGCTAGGCCCTGGACCCACACCAGGACAGGAGCAGAGGTGGCCATAGCTAAGGGAAACAATCCACTAAATACCCGTCATGCCACCAGCAGCTTGTGAAGGTGATTCAGGAAATAGATGAGTTGATATTGTGTGGGGTGGGGAGGGGGGTGCATGCCCACGCGCGCGCACGCACGCAAACATGATTTCTTTTCTAAAACCACCTTTAAGTCTAAATACATGTAAAAAACATATCCAGAGCAATGAATGTTCCCAGAGAACCACCCATGTTTATCACAAACTCAGATAAACAAAATGTTAGGAGYCCCCAGAAAGACTTGGTCACCCCAAAGCTCAACGGCAGCCCAACACCGCAGAGCTCTGTATGAATGCGGGTTTTGGAGCRTCATATAAAGGAAATCAACAGCTTTCATCTCACGCTTCTCTTGCTCAACACATTGTGAGTGAGACACCCCCGGGTGGCGGCATTTCCTTCAAGAGCACAGAGTGGCTGTGCAGCGGTGCATTGATCTGCGCATCTGTGGACAGACATCTGGGTTCTTTGCAGCTTTGGGCTGACAGGAACAGGGCTGGAGGCTAAGACAGGAGGATGGCAAGTTGGAGGCCAGCCTGGGTAATTTAGCAAGACCTTATCTCAATATAAAATAAAAAGAGCTGGGAATGTAGCTCAGTAGTGGAGCAGCCCTGGGTTCAATCTCTAGTACCAAAAACTAAGGAAGTGCTACCTTAAATAGTCCTGTGCGTGTTATTGGTGTCTTTTAGTGGACATGTGCACATATTTCTGAGGAATTGCTGGGTCATTAGAACATCTAAGGTAGGTAGATGTTCGTCCCTAGGGGTTATTGCCAAATATTTTCCAAAGTGGCTGTGCCAAGTTATACAAGCAATAGTAGTAGATGAGGTTCTGCTCACATCCTCCTCTTCCTTTTCTTTTTCTTTTGAGACAGGGCCTCACTATGTTGCCCAGGCTGGTCTGGAATTYGTGGTCTCAGGCAATTCTCCTGCCTCAGCCTCCCAAATAGCTGGGACTGCAGGCAAGCCTTTGATTTGAGAAAATGAGATCTTGAATAAGGAGCTGGCATCGGATTGCCTGCCTTTGGGTCCTAGCCATCTCCTAAACATGTGACCTCCAGGGCTGGGGGTGTAGCTCAGTGGTAGAGCACTTGCTTGTCCGAGGCCCTGGGTTCGACCCCTGCACCCAGAAGCAAACAAAACATGCGACCTTCAGCAAAGCCTGCTTCCTGATTTACAAAATGGGTTAAAAGTCACGATGTGTGCCAGGAGAGGTGGCACTGTGATTCCAGCTACTGAGAGGCTGAGGCAGGAGGATCACAAGTTCAAGGCCAGCCTGGGCAACTTAGCAAGACCCTGTCTGAAAATAAACAATAAAAAGAGAGGGGAGGTAGCACGATGGTAAATCACCCCATGGTTCAATCCTCAGTATCCCCCACCCCCCAAAAAAAKAAAGCGAGAGAAGAAAAGTCATGTGGCTTTTGTGATGATTCTCAATATCTCTTAGTAAGAGCTCCATAAATGTTAGTTATTTATCACCAGTTTTACTACAGACCTCTGGAACACTTTACCTCTTCCAGCCTCAGTTTCCCTGCCATAAAATGGTTGTAAAAATACCCACATATGCACACAGTTGAGAATCATGTGTGAAAGTGCTTAATTTTTTTTTTGTGATATAACTTATTCTTCTCCCCCGCCCCCCGCTTTTTTTTTTTTTTTTGCACTGGGGGTTGAACCCAGGGGCTCTTTACCACCGAGCTATACATTCCAATTCTTTTTATTTATTTTATTTGTTTGTTTATTTATTTTGGTACTGGGGGTTGAACCCAGGGGCTCTTTACCACCGAGCTACACATTCCAATTCTTTTTATTTATTTTATTTGTTTGTTTATTTATTTTGGTACTAGGGATTAAACCCAGGGGACCTTAACCACTGAGCCACATCCCCAGCCCTTTTTTTTWAATATATATTTTATTTAGAGACAGGGTCTTGCCAAGTTGCTTAGGGCCTTGCTAAGTTGTTGAAGCTGTCTTTGAACTTGCGATCCTCCTGCCTCAGCCTCCCCAGACTCTGGGACTACAGGTGTGCACCACCACACCCAGATAAAAATTTTTTTCTTTAGATAGGACTGGAATAGCCGTGAGGTGTGGTGGCACAAGCCTATAATCCTCAGGAGGTTGAGGCAGGAGGATTGAGAGTTCAAAGCCAGCCTTAGCAATTTAGTGAGGCCCTAAGCAATTCAGTGAGACCCTGTCCCTTGATAAAATATTTTTAAAAGGCTGAGGATGTGGCTCAGTGGTTAAGTGCCTCTGGGTTCAATCCTTGGTACAAAAAAAAAAAAGATTAATTTTGAGACAGGGTCTTGTTGTCAAGGCTGGCCTCAAAGTTGTGATCCTCCTGCCTCAGCCTCCTAAATTGCTGGGATTGCAAGTGTGGACCACCACATCCAGCTGAGATATAATTTACAAAATATAAAATTCACCCCTTTTCAGTGGTTCAGTCTGGAAAGAAAATACTAGCCCATTAGCCATCAGGCCCCCCTCCCTGGCCCCAACCCTCAGCAATTGCTAACTTGCTTTCTATTTCTATGGATATTTAAAGTGCCAATTTATTGCTTTTCTAAAGTTTTTTTTTTACTTTTGCAAAAGCAAAAATTAAATACTAACATCACTGCTTGTCTCTAAAGCAAAGCCAAGTTGTGGGTAAATTAATGTGTTTAGACATCCCCCCAAACTGTGTTTGACATGATTTCCAAAAGTATGTGTTTTGGACATAATGTATTAAGATGCACTTAATACGTGTGTGTGTGTGTGTGTGTGTGTGTGTGTGTGTGTGTTTGTACAGATAGATAAGATAGATGGGTGAGTAGACAGATGGATAGATGAAAGGATGGGATAGATACAGGATGGTCCAGGCGCAGTGTCACACACCTGTAATCCCAGCAGGAGGCAGGAAGATTGCCGGTTTGAGGTCAGACTGGGCAATTTAACAAGATCCTGTCTCAAAATAAAAAGTAGTAAAAAGGGCTGGGGATGTAGCTCAGTGATAAAGCATCCCTGGGTTCAATCCTCCCTCCTGAGAAAAAAGAGAGAAGGATAGGCCGGGTGCGGTGGTGCATACCTGTCATCCCAGTGGCTGAGGAGGCTGAGGCAGGAGGATCATGAGTTCAAAGCCAAGCTCAGCAATTTATCAAGACCCTGTCTCAAAAAAAGGGGGAGGCTGGGGATGTGGCTCAATGGTTAAACACCCCAAGGTTCAATCCCCAGTTAACCCCTTCGCAAAAAAGAGAGAAGGATAAATGGATGGATGGATGGATGGGTGGATGGACAAAGCACACCTAGCAGGCAGCTGCAGTTTACACTCATTCATTCAACAAATACCCGTGTGCACTTGGGAAGATGGGCCATAGAGAGAAGCAGGATGTGATTCTTGCTTCCAAGGAATTTGCCATGTAGTGGGAAAGAGAAACCCGTGCACCCCTCGCTGTGAATGCAGAACAGAAGGAAATTAGACTTGAATGGACTGGCACAAGGGTTGGGGGAGACTTCGATTTTTACCTGGAGAACCCACAGAAGAGGTGGGAGGTGGTACTTCAAGAATGTATCCTGATGGGAAGGCAGTGTGGGGGAGGAATACTGAGAGCCAAGACTGGGAGGCGGGGACACATGGTGTCAAGCAGGTCCACTGGGAACAGCCGGCTCTTCACACCCCAGTCAGGGCTTGTCTTGCACCTCCATGGACGGTAAACCAGAATTGTTTTCTGAGAGGCCGTGGGTAGAAGGGGTCAGATGGGAAAGGCAGTGAGAGGGGAGTCAGGCTAGCTGTGCTGCATTCTGGGCAGGGCCACCCTAAACCAACTGTGACATGTCAGAATTTGTGGACATTCTCACATTTATTGTGTACTATGGTATTTTTTTTGTTTTGAATTTCATAGGCAGAACGTGTCTTTTCAGTATGAGACCTCCCAAGGTGTCATCAGGCCCTGCAAAGGGTAAAAAGAAGTGCAGAGGGCTCTTGATTGGCAGTTAATGACAGGGGAAGGGAAGGGAAGGGAAGGGCGAGGGAGGGAACTCACCCATAATCCTTCCACTCCACTCAAACCCAGCTCAGGGGAAAGTCTCTGAAACTGAAGGAGGACAACCCTGAGATTTACTGCTGGGGACAGGAAGCCAGGGAGGAATGCTGAGGGGGAGCCGGGGACACTGATAGCAAAGACTTTGAACTTTGAAGCAAGGGTCAAGTTGCCAAATCCTAAGAAATGGCTGAATTCAGTGTCCCCATTATACAGGTGGAGTGACCAGGGAGACAGATTTGCCCAAGGTCATTCGTGGAATTAGTGGCAAAGCAAGGATTATTTTGGGTCTCTGCTTGAGCTAAGGCCCCTGAGTTGGGAGCCACAGGGAAGGGAGAAAAAGGAGGTCCTACTTCCTACCCCCACCGGCATGGTCCAGTAAGGTGACAGATGTGAGTGCTCCCACCGGGTTTCTATCTTCAGACGCAGGAACAAAAGCTGGACCTCAGCGTCAGTGAGAGGAGGGGATGCTTCTGCGCTGAGTACTTCCTGGGGGATGTCCAGGGGACGGTGGCCAAGGCTCCCCCTTACCCAACTCTGGTAATGGTCCTGCTGAGCCTCTCGGGACTCACAACCAGGGAACCCCGAAGTATGCCAATCATAGATGTGAATCTCTCAGCTGTTGGAGGGCCGCGAGGGGTCAGGAGCCAAGAGATCAGGGAGGTCGGGTAGATGGACAGTAGTTAGGTGGGGGGGAGAAGCCACCCGAAAGCACGAAACCAGGCACCGAGGTGTGATGRTCGACTTTCCTGAGAACCCTTTTGGGAGAAGTAGGGGCGGTTCCATGAGGACTCCAAGTGGTCAAATCAGAAGGGAGGGACAGAGGGGAGGTCGGGACAGACCCCTCAACGAGGGGATCCCAGGACTCACACCTGGGACGTCGGTTGAGCCAATATAAGCCCCGCCCGGTCCGCTCCCTTCCCCCCCTCCCCCCTCCCCCCGGGGCTCAGAGGCTCCGCCCCCTCGAACGGCCTATCSTGAGAAAGGGCGGGGCTATGTTAATAAGGCCGGGCCGGCCACTTTGAGTGCTCAAGTGGCTCTGCCGAGCGCTGGCCAAGCGGCAGCGGCCATGGCGCTGGCAGGTCTGACCGCGGGCTTGCAGGTCCCGCGGGTCGACCCCAGCGCGGACTCGGACTCGGACACAGACTCGGAGGACCCGAGTCCCCGTCGCAGCGCGGGCGGTCTGCACCGCTCGCAGGTCATCCACAGCGGGCACTTCATGGTGTCGTCGCCGCACAGCGACTCGCTGACCCGGCGGCGTGACCAAGAGGGGCCGGTCGGGCTTTCCGACTTCGGGCCGCGCAGCATCGACCCCACACTCACCCGCCTCTTCGAGTGCTTGAGCCTGGCCTACAGGTGAGGGCGGCTCCGGAGACCGACRGCCTCGACTCTCGGTGGCGGGACCGCGTGCTGGGGCCCTGGGCACCCCTCACGAGCCTGCTGCGCCGGGAGACTCCGGCCACAACCTGGGCTTCCCACTCCCCCAACCCTGAGTGTCCTCAGCCGCGACCCTGCCCACTGGCTTCCGACCGACCCGTACACTCCGCACCTCGTCACCTCCTCCCCGAGCGCGGACCGCTTGCCCTCCGTAGGCCCCCACCAGGCCTCTCTCCCAGGTCTCGGCTCCTCTCCCCGCAGAGAAATGCCGGGCGTCCCTCGCGCTCCCAGGACTATAGGCCAGCCTGGCTCATCTCCACCGCTTCACCCGGGCCATCCCACCCAATCAGATGTGGCCCTGGACGCCCTTCCCCAGCAGCCCATTGACCCCTCGGTTCCTGCACTGGTACTCCCAGTGCCCAAAGTCRTTCCACTCCTTAGCCACCGTCCACTGAAACTGAACCAGTCTCTCATCCGCCTTCCCCCAATTGCCGGGACCCGACTTCGCGATCTGCTAGGTCAAGGGTGGAGGGAGGAGGGTGCCGGGGCGTGCGGAGAAGCTAGCCTTAAAAGTTCCCGGGGAGGACCGGCAGGGGGTGCTGTAGGCCGCAGGGGCTGGTTCGGGGGAGGCCAGGGCTTGCAGACCCGGGTGGCCGTGGGCAGCAGAGCGCCTAAAGCAGTCTGGGATCCCTGTTAGCGCAGCACAGAACGCGCAGGCCGCACCCGGTTCCCTCTCCACACCCGTGTCCCAGAGGAGGGCGCGAACTGGGGTCCTGGCTCAGTGCCCTGGAGCAAAGTTCTCTGCAGCTGAGGGGCCAGGATAAATTATCAACCGAAAACAGTAGAGGAGAAAGGGGGATCGGCGGCCTTGATCTCTTCTCTGTGCAAATATTCCTCTTCCTCCGCGGCGCCTCCTCCCCTTGAGAGAAGCGCAGGCTACAGATCGGTACCTGCCGCCCCACAGGGAGCTGGAGCTGGGGTGCGGATTGCCAAGGAGTTTTGCCTACCCTGTGGCCACCGAGGCGCGCGACCCCATTGGCTGGAGGCAAAGTAACCTTGGCCCRCAAGTTCTGGCCTCGGGCCCAGGTCATGTTGCAACCTGATCATCCAGGGCGCTAGACCGATGTGGAAAGTTCAAATTCCCGTCCCTTTCTGCCCTCCCCCATTTGGACATCACGAGTCTGCCCGGGACACAACATCTGAGGTCCTAGGACACCGGATGCGCCCCCTTCTTCCCACGCTCCCCCAAGGGTCTTCATTTCCCACCCATTTCACACCCCTTACACCACAACAGCTCCACGTGAGCTGGGTAACCTCCGCCCCTCAGCCCAGACTATGGGTGGGTGAAAAGGAAGGTTGGTRAGGTGAGGGGCAGAGAACACCTCCAAATCGCCCCCTAAGAGGCTGGCTGGAGGCTGATATAACCCCAGTTGGGGGCATTGGTGAAGAGAGCTGCTGGATTTTTTCCCACCAAATGCACAGAATGTTAAATCTCCCTATCCTGTCCTGGGTGCCAGCCTGAGCACAGAGGATGGGGGTGGGTCAGCAGAGGAGACTTCCGGTTTCCCCATTTGATATAGGAAAAAACTGGGGCTCAGACTGGGACAGTGTTTGACCTGCAGTTACACAGATCTCCTGGAGGAGCCAGAATTGCAGAAGCAGAGTGTCCCAGGGAAGCAGCTGAATGGAAAGGGACCAGCCAGGCAGGCAGGGGGTCCAGAAAGTGGTGGGAGAAACAGGCCAACTTGAGAAGAACAGCCTGCTGCCTTTCACCCTCCTCAGGGCAGTGTGGGCAGGGCGAGGACTTTTCTAGTAGCCTGTGTTCCCTGGTTTCGTGGGTGGAAGCCCCAGGGAGGCAAGTTGTGGAGACTCCAAGAAAGTACTTGTTCATGGTCAGAGCAGGGTAGCTAGGGAAAGAGTGGCCTCCGGAGGGTGGGGCAGCAAAAAGGACCCCTGTTGGGGCTACTTTCAAGGGAATTCCTCCATGTTGGGGGTGGGGTGCTGAACCAAGTTCTAAGGCTCTCCCCATCCCATCCCTGAGATTCTGAGCTTCCCATTGGTACAAGAAGCTCTTGAACCTTGTCCCAGGGCTTTTGCACCAGGCTGGGTCCCACCCCTCACATCCAGCCAACCAAATGCTTTCCTCCCAGGCTTGGATGTTGCTTGGGCCACACACCTCAGCAGGGAGATGGTGGAGGGCAGGCACTGGGTGATCACACGGGGCTGGGAGGTTGCTGGGATACAGGCAGGGGTAACAAACTCAGGAGTTCCCCCACCTGGGTGGACAAAACAAGCTGGCCCAGGAGGGGGCAGAGTCCCCCCACCCCCAGCCATGTCTTCTTACTGGACAGATGGTGTTTATCCAACTGCAGGACAGAGGGGGCCAGCCATCAGGCTAGGGCACTGGCTATATCCTTTATTTGGGTAATGAGGCCTGTTATACTCTGGGGTGACAGTCTCCTCCCCCCAGCAGCCATCATTACCCCAAAGCAAACACAGGAGCTTGGAGACCAGAGAGAAGAGGAGACCCAATGATGCATGCACCCAAGGTGCCATAGAGAGAAGAGCTGAGGGGTCAGACTGCCACCTGTCACCCCCAGGAGGATGGAGGGGCCCCTGGAAAGAGTTGCCTGGCCTTCTGCAAGGCTTGGGGTCTCCCTGAGCAGGGATTGCAGAAGGTGAGCCAGAGGGACGTGTATGCAAACCTGGCTTGTAGACCCCACAGGGTCTAGTGTCCCAGAGCATCTTGACCTCCTGGGTCAGCTTGYTGGTGGTGATAGACTTGGCCTGTGTCCAGCAGGACCCTGAGTCAAACCATCAACTGCACAGAGCCCTTCGCCCTGCAGACTTAGTGGACCACTAACTGGTGTTAGGCTCAGAGTTAAAATGCCCTGTCTTCTATATACTTCCTGTGGGCCCTTGTGGCCCTAAGAAGGGCACACCATCCAGCTCAGTACACACTGCCAACCCGGGGCTGGAGATGGGCACCTAAAGGGCAGTGAGAAGCACTCCTGGCTGCTCTGAGGCTGCCCCTTGGGAAGAGTCTTCCTTGCCATCCTGGCACACTGTCCTCATGCCCTTGGCCTCTCCTGGTCCAAAGGGGCCAGTGAGACCAAGAAAGTCTTTGCTGTATGAACTTAGGCATTCCCCTTTCCTTTCCTGTCCCTCTTTCTCTTGTTAAATAAGAAATGGGCACCATGGTGCACACCTGTAATCCCAGCGGCTTGGGAGGCTGAGGCAGGAGGATCACAAGTTCAAAGCCAGCCTCAGCAACTTAGTGAGACCCTGTCTCTAAATTAATAATAAAAAGGGCTGAGGATGTGGCTCAGTGGTTAAAAGTCCCTGGGTTCAATCCCCAGTACCAAAAAAAAAAAAGAAAGAAAAGAAAACACAAATGTGGCAGGCATCAAGGCATCATGACTCATGCCTGTAGTCCCAAGTGCTCAGGAGGCTGAGGCAGGAGGATCTTAAGTGTGAGGCCAATCTCTGAAACTTAGAGAGATCCTGTCTGAAAATAAAAAATAAAAAGGGCTGGGAATGTAGCTCGGTGTCAAAGCACTTGCCTAGAATGTGCAAAGCCCTGGGCTCAATTCCTGCAAAAAAAAAAAAAAAAGAAAAGAAAGAAAGAAAGAAAGAAAAGAAAAGAAGGAAGAGGAAAAGAATTGGGCTACCCTCCCCAGCTGGTCCACAAGACAGATGCCTGTGAGGCCACCCAGGAGGATGCAGTTGTTCTTATCACCATGCTGATAAGCAAGGGTCAGCCTGGATGACAGGCTGGTGTCTGCGGGGAACACGGCATAGAGCCCAGTCTTTAAGGTTAGATGCAGGGCTGGGAGAGCCAGCCACACATGCCTAGTGCATGGGCAGAGGGTGGAGCCAGTTCCTGCAGGAGTCCCCTACCTTTTCCATCCCCACCCCACCCTGACCCATCCTCTCCCCCCGACAGCGGCAAGCTGGTGTCTCCCAAGTGGAAGAACTTCAAAGGCCTCAAGTTGCTCTGCCGAGACAAGATCCGCCTCAACAACGCCATCTGGAGAGCCTGGTATATCCAGTGTGAGTGGGCACCGTGGAGTGGCCTGTCCCCAGCCAGAGGGCTCCACAGGGAAAGCCCCCGGGGGCCCTCAGAGCCAGCTCTGGCAGAGTGCTGTGGCGTTTTGGGGAGCTCCCTCTGACTGGGATGTCTGAACTTCTGACTCCCAGAGGGTGCTGGGGAATGTGTCCTAGAGGGTGCTGACCACTGTGAAACCAGAGGGCACCCCTTGGAAGCACTAAGATAGGCTAAGATTATGGGTCAAGTTCAAGACCCATTCTGGATCCCACTAGTAGAGTCAGGTGCCTTGAATGCCAGGCTAAAGAAGGGTATTAAACATCCTCTCGGCCAACTGCATCACTTTATGAATGGGGAAACGGAGGAAGGTCTTGCAGGGGTCTCCACCAGCTTTATTGAAGTCCTTACTGAATACTCAGCAGGTATTTGRTAGATGGGACCCAGAGAAGCCATATAGGGTGGTGGAAGTGACCCTGGCCTTAGAGTTCTCACCCTGTCTCTGCCCCTTGCTGGTTGTGTAACTTCAGGCAACAGGCTTAACCTCTCTGAACCTGTTTATCTACAAAATAAGAGCACCAACCCTACCTTTCATGGTCGATGTGGAGACAATAGATATGAAGGTGCCTGGAATTAAATTATATACCTGAAGAGGTCACGTTTACCCATTTAGGGACAGTCCCCTGTGCAGCAGGGCAGCATAGGCTGAGGATGGGATCAGTCAGCTGAGTGTCAGGACCTTGTCCAGCTCAGTTAGGTCCTGCTGCAAGATCAAAGGTGGCTCTGAGCTGGGAACACACAGCCCAGGAGGGACACACGCCGCCGTCTTCTGTACACTGGCTCTGTGGATCCCCTCCAAGCAGAGGGAGTGTCATTTTCTGGCTTTCCTTCATCTCTGTGCCAGGCACCTTCATAGAGGCTCTTAGTCAGGGCTTTCCAGCAACTCTGAGTGAGGGGTATGATGGTGCCCATTCTGTGGATGAGCCACTGAGGCTCAGAAAGGCAGAGACATGTTCAGGTTCATGGAGCTTAAAGAYAGCTGGCAGCTGCGCAGCACCCTGCCCCCCACTCCCACTCTCTGAGCACATGCAGGTCGCCCAGCACAGGGGGCAGCCAGGCTGTGCAGGAAAGCAGGAGATCCAGGCCTTTTGGATGCTTTCTCTGGGTCTCTGCCATTTCTGAGAACTTGCATGACAGGTCCCGGCCAAAATGATCAAACCAGGAATTTGATAAGCCAAGGGGAGTCAGTGTCTCCCCACCCAAGGTCCCCCTTACTCCCAAAGCTGAATGAGGCACAAACCATTTACTCTGCAGAAGTTTCTGATGACCGCTGAGTCATGATGCCCCCATCCCTGGGGTCCTCACCCAGACAGATCCTGATCTCCAGCTATGGTACAAGTTGCCAGAGGGACCCCAGGTTCTGCATGGCACAGAGCTGGATTTGAACCGAGTCCCAGCAGGTCCTGCCTATGTGTGTGGCCACAGGGAAATCGCCAACCTTCCAGATCCAAAACTTGCTCATCTGAAAAATGGGTGTAATGACAGGTCCCACGCACCAGTTTGCTGTGTGATTTCAGTGAGGCTGTCTGTACCTCCGCAGGAGCCTGTACTCAGAGGGACTCCCTAGATATGAGTAGCTGGGTTTGATCATTATTATTGGATCATGGTGGCAGCATGTGTCAGGAACCCCCTCTTCCTCCAAAACCAAAGGTTTGAAGGTGGGCTGCAGAGGGGTGGAGGGCTGCCTGGCTCACCCGCCCCAGCGGCTCGCCTTAGTCCCCAGGAGGGGAGGCCCTGCTGCCCCTCAGCAGCCTCCTGACCTCCAGGGTCCCTCCTTTCTGCCCCGCCACTCGCTCTCCCATGCTTGAAGAGCCTCTTGGTTTCCTCGGAGCTCCCAGGGCACTTTGCACCTCTCCTGGGCAGGCGAGAAGGACTTTCCACTTGCACTATCTGTGCTGTGTTTGTTTACTTCCTTATCTCTCCATGGAGCTGAGAGCGCCCTGATTCAACCATGTATCCCTGTCCCAGCATCTGTCCCAGCAAAGGTGCAAAGGAACAAACTTACCAAACAAAGCCTTCCCCAGCCCCAGGAAGCCACAGTGTCACAGCCCTTTTGTCCAGAGCACAGGGTCTCCAGGCTAGGCAGGAGAGGCCACTCAACCCTGATTCTCTGAGGGCCCTGGACATACATAACCTTTCCTGGTGGTCATGTTCTCATTTGGGAACTCGGGACAGATACTCTTCAAAGCCTTCCTTGCTCTAAGCCCCTGGGAGCCTATGCACCCAAGGTCCCTTGTTTCCTGTCCAAGCCAGGCTCAGGAGCCAGGACCAWGCCCTTCCTCCAGTCCAATGAGCATCCACTATGCAGAATATCCTTGAGGGCAGGACTTTGTAAATGGTGCCAAAAGTCCTAATGAATGTCACACTCCAGCAGTCCCCAACTTCCCTGTCCATGTTTGTCCCAGAGAAAATTGGCTGAGGCAAGATAGATCCTCATGAACTGGCCCCTCTTGAGGAGTTGGTGATCGTCGTCTTTGCAAGGGTCACCTTTGCTTTGTTTGGTTTGTTTTATTTTTGTAGTGCTGGGGTGGACCCAAGGCATGCTAGGCCAGAGCTCTACCACTGAGCTACGTCCCAGCCCAATTCCCTCTAACAAAGGCCTGCTGGGTGCCACCCTGTCCCAGGGGAGGCAAACCTGCACAGGGCTGACAGGCAGGGTGGAGCATGGGAAGACATGGCCATGGGGGCTTGGGGAAGGAGGGGCTGCCCCGACGGGTGGGCAGAGGAGGAATGGGCATTCCTGGTAGACCATGGGCTGTGTGCCTCTGAGGTGGGGCTTATGAAGGAGATGGGAAGGGGGAGAAGCAGGTGGGCCCCAGAGTCGGGGAAGTCCAGTTGAGACCAGGGCATGACTGAGAGAGAGGAGAGGGAGGGGAGGGACGGTGGAAGAAATGTCACAGGTCCTGTGGAACTGATGTGGTCTGTCCACGCATTAGACTGGAATGCTGGGAGTTGGTGGGGAACTTTTGTGGCAAGTTTTGGGACATCTTATTGAGGGTCCCTAGGCAGCTGGGATATGGAGCTGGAGCTGGAAGGGGCAGTGAGAGAGGCTGGGGTGGCACCGTAGAGGAGACAGTGCCCAGAGGTGAGGGGGCAGGAGAGCAGAGGGGGGCTCCTGGAGGAGGTGGGCGGCACATACTGAGGTCTGGGGGGACGGATCCAGTGGTGTGGGGCAGATGCTGAGTTTCAGGAGGTGGAGATGAGAGCGAGGTGTGGAAGTGGAGGGACAAGTGACAATTTCAGAGCTCGAGAGCAAAGCAAAGGGATGCAAAGACAGAGAATTAGCTGGGAGCTGGGTGCAGTGGCACATGCCTGTAATCCCAGCAGCTTGGGAGGCTGAGGCAGGAGGATCAAGAATTCAAGACCAGCCTCAGCAACTTAGTGAGGCCCTAAGCAACTCAGGGAGACCCGGTCTCTAAACAAAATATTTTAAAAGTGCTGGGGACATGGTCAGTGGTTAAGCGCCCCTGGGTTCAACCCCTAGTACCAAAAAATAGGAGGGGGCTAGAATGTGCTTCTGAGCCAGAGGGAAAGGACCTGGGAGAGGTCAGGATTGGAGACAGAGAGGTGTGGAGGTTGCTGGACAAGGGCTCAGGGAGGTGGCAGGGAGAAAGTGGGCCAGGGCTGGTTTTCTGAGGTGGGAGTGTRCATACCAAGGAGCCAGAGACAGGGGACCCTGCCTGTGACTTGTGGCCTCACAATCTATTCAGCAAACCTTGCTTGTGCCCCTACCAAGCTCCCAAAGAGGGCAAAGAAGATCCCAGAGGGCCAGGGCAAGCAGGAAGGCTTCCTGGAGGCAGCGCTTAATCCAGTCTCAAAGTCCAGGCAGGATTTCATAGGGTGTCACTTGAGGCCCAGTTTGTCCTAACCTCCATCCCCATGGGGGGATGAGGGAGCTTAGTGCCCCTCACCTGGCCCCCTTCTCTCAGATGTGGAGCGGAGGAAGAGCCCCGTCTGTGGCTTCGTGACACCCCTGCAGGGGCCAGAGGCTGACGAGCACCGGAAACCGGAGGTAGCTGAGGCTGATGGCCGCCACCCACCTACCCACCTACCCACCTACCCAATCTCTTATACCAAATTTTTTTTTAAAAAGCCCTCCCCCCTTCTTTGCGCTGGGTGGGAACGGCTGGCCGGGCGGGCAGGGTTTGGATGAGAGTTGGGAACTTGGCGGCAGGGTGCCGATGTCACGATGTCACCCTTCCCACTGAGCCCTGTCCCCTGACCCTCCCCAGGCTGTCGTCCTGGAGGGGAATTACTGGAAGCGGCGCATCGAGGTGGTGATGCGCGAGTACCACAAGTGGCGCATCTACTACAAGAAGCGGGTCAGTGAGGGACCCAGGGATGGCCCCAGGACTTTCTCCTGCGGTTGCTGGMCACAGACTCTTGGATAGCCCTGGAGGGGCTCCCCCACCCCTGCGCCCTTCATTCAGACCCAGGCTGACAGCGCCACCGTGTGGCCACATGGTCTCCTCGCAGACTTCGTACTCTGGGTGGCTGCAGCCTGGGGAGCCCCTGGGAGAAACATTGGGATCCCATTGATGGGGTTGGGAACGGGGGGAACTAAGGGGAGGAGGCAAGGGATCCAGCGTCCATCTCTGTGTCCCTGCAGCTCCGAAAGTCCAGCAGAGAAGGGGATCTCTTGGCCCCCAAGCAGGTAGGTGCTTGGGAGACCAGTAGGGACTGGGATCTGCCTGCTTCCACCTGGCTAGCCAGGGCAGATCTGGGGGTGAGGGTGGGTTGTGAGGGGGGTGCAAGTGGTTCAGGCCGGGAAAAACAGAGATTGCAGGAAGAGACCCTTATCTTTTCTGATAAGGGTGTTGGCCACCCTGGTCTGACTCCTGGAGGAAGTTGTTGGAGAGTGATGAGTTGACCTTGGCCTTCCAGGAGGCAAACCTGGTGCCCAGGGAAGGTGAAGTGGTGTATCTCAGAGAGGCCCTCGGCCGGGGGCCACTTCATCCCCAAGCAAGGGGTGACTTGCTTGGCTGTCAGTGACTGCTCCATCTCGCTAGGCGGAAGGTGGGTGGCCGCCGCCAGAGCGATGGTGCGAGCAGCTCTTCTCCAGCGTGGTGCCCGTGCTGCTGGGGGGCCCCGAGGAGGAGACCGGTGGGCGGCAGCTGCTGGACCTGGACTGCTTTTTGTCCGACATCTCCGATACACTCTTCACCATGACACAGCCCAGCCCCTCGCCCCTGCAGCTGCCCCCAGAGGACGGTGAGGGCCTGCATCCAGGCAGGAGGCAGGGGAGGGTGGCAGGATGGCCAGGGGAAGGGGTGCAGGCGCTGAGGGCCTGCGTCCAGGCAGGAGGCAGAGGAGGGCGGCAGGATGGCCAGGGGAAGGGATGCAGGCGCTCCTGCCCCTCCACCGCTCCTGATGTCTCTCTGCCCCTCCAGCCTACGTCGGCAATGCTGACATGATCCAGCCAGACCTGACGCCTCTGCAGCCCAGCCTGGATGACTTCATGGAGATCTCAGGTGGGGCAGACCCCTCCCCCAGGTGAGGCAGATGGGCAGGGTCAGTGCAAGGAAAGCCTTAGGGTTGACCCTGAGACCCCAGGCCAGTGCAAGGCCCCTCTGGGAGGGCAGATGGTCTGGGTCATTTCTGAAGCATCTTTCTGACCCTCCTTTGTCCAGCTTTGGGATACAGCTAGTGTGGCCTGTCATTAGCACAAGGCCAGATGAAATTCAGGACCAGGAGAGCAGGGACTTTGAAGCTGCAGGCTCCAGGGGCTCCCAGGAAAGCAATGCATGCCAGACTTTCTCGGAGGGGAAAGGGACCTTGATTTGTTTGGGTCTGTTTATTATTTATATAATGCTTTTAAAAAGTATTTATTAAAGAACATGTCAAACATACACAAGTAGAGAGAGAGTCGGTCAACAAACCCCACATGGCCTCCATCCCGACCTGCCAGCTCTCGGCCACTGTTTCACCTGGCCACTCTCCCCCTCCTTCTCCTGTAGTATTTTTAGGAAAATTCCAACCATCAGACAAAGCATTTCGGAAAGTAGTTTCCCTGCTTCCTCTCCTGACCCAGGGCCATGAAGTCATCATGTCTTAGCATCCTTTTTTAAAAAATTTGGTACAGGAGATTGAACTCAAGAACTGACCTACTTGCCCAGCAGTTCTTGACAGGATCTTGCTAAGTTTCTTAGGGCCTTGCTAAATTTCTGAGGCTGTCCTCAAACCTGCAATCCTCCCACCTTGGTCCCCTGCATGGGATTATGGGTGTGTGCCACTGCACCTGGCCCTGGTGTCCTTCCAGAGATAGAGATAGGTCCGTATAAGCCAATGTGGACAATTTCTGGTTCTGTTTTCACAGCAGATTCTTCCTCACATTGTACTCTTCACTGAGCTATAGATCTTGCAGACTGCTCCCTATATGCATGCATTTAGGAGCTCCCAAAGCCATTTTGGGGGATAGACAAACATCAAAGCTCAGGCTGTCTCACTCAAGGCCAGGGGAAAGAGGGAGGGTCCCTGGGATAGAGGCTTAATTTCAGTGACCCCCCAACTCCTTCCCCACAGGGTCGTGGGCCTGTCACTCAAGAGGAGGAGGCCTATGGGGCGGGGATTAGGGAATGAGGAACCACCCCCACCCCTGCCCCAGCCCTGGGCTGGGTGGGGGCTGCCGGGGGCAGAAGTGGATGGAAGTGCCCTGGGAGCAGACCAGCCTGGGAGGGCGGCAGCCCTGCCTGGGTACCCAAGCACCCACCACAGGTAGGAGCCCAGCTGGGTCCCTCGAGGCTCCCAGTGAGACCCAGACAGACTGGGGCTGGGCACCGGCTTCTCTCAGTCCAAGGTAGCAGCTGGGTGGGGGCAATTGTGGGTCATGCCGAGCAGGGCTAGTGTGGCCCTCTCAAGTCTCTGCACCCGGAGGGCAGGGAGCATGGGGGCTCTCGGGCTCATACTCCAGTTGTCCCCAGGAGCCCCTCCCTGGAAGGCTGGACTACAACCCAGGGAGGGTACAGAACTCCACGGAGACTGGAGACTAGGCGAGGGCAGGGCACAGGAGGTAGCTAGAGGACGGGGCTCCAGGAAAGGAGGGCAAGGCCAGGGAGGGGAACAGAGGTGAGGGAGGGATGGGCTCCATGAGAGGTCAGGGCTGGGAAGTGGCTTCTCTCAAGCCAGGGTGGGAAGAGGCATGGGAAGCCTCGAGTAAGAGGGAGACTGTGCCTCAGGAATGCACGGGGCTCGCCACCCCATGCCCGAGCCTCTGTGGGCGCAGTGGGTGGGAGGCTCTGTGTGAGCTGGTTCTAAAGCACTGGGCCTCAAGTAGCCTAGTGATGAGGCCCATGGTCCCTGAGGAGCTGGGGTGGAGGATCAGTGACCACCACCTGGGCCATCCAGTTCCTCCCTGAAAGGGGGCATCGTGAGGAAGCTGCCTTCTAACCAGATGCTGAGAAGACAGATGTGGGCAGAGAGTAGGTAACACTGCTGAGCCTGCTGCCTCAGGGCAGGTCCACAGGGAGTCAGGGCTCAGACATGGCCACAGACTGATGCTGACCCCTAGGTTCTATGCCTTCCGGCAAAGCAGAATCACCTAAGACAGACAGACACACAGACAGCAGACACAGACACACACACACACACACACACACACACACACACACACATGACTCCTGTAGGTTCTGCATCTGATCTCCTGAGAGGGGGCTCCTTAGCCAGGGACCCTGAAGGGAAAGAGTGGACAGGGTCCATCCCAGGCCTATAGGGAGCTGCCAAGGCGGGGTCAGGTCTGGCAGCCCAAGAAGTCCTGAGAGCTGGTACAGACCGCAGGCCAGTCAGGGTCAGAGAAAGGTGCCCGGAAGGGAGCGGGTGGGCGGGTGGCGCCCAGGCCCGGGATGTGGTCAGGCCACAGGCAGCTGCTTCCCAAAACCAGAATAGCCCAGGACTTACACAACCCGCGCCCCAAACAATCCAGCTGCCCGCCTCCCCAGCCCCTCCAGGCTTCTCAGCGCCCCCTGCTCCTCAGCCCAGGCTGAGACCACACTTTGGGCTCTGTCACCCCGTCACACCCTGCCTCCTCCTCCTGGGCTCTGCTCTTGCAGCCCCACCTGTTGGCTTTCCAAGAAACCTGACCTTCCCTGACCCACTGACCTCCTGACCAGCTCACCCCTAGCTCACCCCTAACTCCTGCCATCCTCCCGGCACCCCACCCTTTGCCCTTTTGGCCCTTGTCTATGCCACCCTTTCCAGACCTCCAGCAGAGTTTGTAAGGGGAGCAGGCAAGGGGATGGGGTGGGGAAGGGACTCTCCTGGGCCTAGTGGGGGCTCTCTGGGGGACCCTGGGTCCCTGCTCACTCACTCCCCAACCCCTGCTCTATCCACTTGGGCCTGTCCCGCCCCAGACTCTGGCTGCTTCCCCCAAGCGAGACAGAAACTCCTGGTTTCACAACCTCCTGTGGAAGCCCCTCTCCTCCTCTAGCGCCCACCCCACCTCGGCTAGCCTGAGCCCTAACCCTGCCACCCTGTGTGTCCAAATTGCAGATTTCTTCACAAACTACAGACCCCCACAGATACCCACATCTTCAAACTTCCCAGAGCCCCCCAGCTTCAGCCCCGTGGCTGACTCTCTCTTCAGCAGTGGGATCCTCGGCCCGGAGCCACCCCCAGCTCCCTCCATCATGACCCACCTCCCGGGACACAACCGCCTGCAGGTGAGCTCCCACCACCCCATCGACCATGCCCAGCTCCCCTGAGAGCTGGCTCTGGCTGTGGCCCTGCCCGTGTCCAGGCTGTCTACAGGAACTTCCTGAAATCCACGTCTTGAGCTGGCCAATCCAGAGAGACTCTGGGAGGGCCATGTAGCAGCACAACTGGACTGGTATAGGTGGGGGAAGGCCCAGGGCATGAGAACCACACAGCAGGGCACCACCTGGGGCTGGGCTGCTCTGGAGAGCTTTCTGGAAGAGAGCAGGGAGTTCTGAGTCTTTGTGAGCCTCAGGTGTGGACAGAGGAGACTGAGAGAGGGCAAGCCAGGTGGGAGGAACAGCGGGAACCAAAGCATGGAGGCAGGAAGTTCACAGATATGTAGGAAACAGTGAGTCTACCATCTTGGTTCAGAGGTCACGCTCCTGTTTCTGTGTGAGAAGGCTTTTCCTTCCAATCTCAGACTTTGAGGCGCTATCCTAGTTGGTCACTGAGGGGTCTGTCTCCTCTGCCAGGAGCTCCCCCCTGGAAGGGCTAGTTTTTGCTCACCTCTGCATCTTGGTACCTCGCACAGCCCAGGCACAGGGCACCACTCAGTCAATGTTTGTCCAATGAGTGAACAAGAGAGAGAATGAGTGTGTGAATGGATGGGTGTACTGGTGAGTGGACAACTGCATTGTCAATGGTGGCGCATGGGTGGGTGAGAACAGGTAGATAAGCGGTTGGTTGGATGGGTGGGCTGGTGGGTGGGTTCATAGACACCACAGATTGATAAATGGGCTGGTGAGGGAATAAATGGCTGGTGAAAATGCAAATGGCGAGTGGATGGCTGGGTGGATTACAGATGGGCTGGTGGGTGAGTAAAGGAAATATGGGTGGCTCGGGTATTAGCCATGACTCCATCCCTAGGAGGCTGCTGTTGAGATAGGGAGATGAAGTAGCTCAGAGATGACAGAAGAAATAGGTGGATGGATGGATGTATGGATGGATGGATGGATGGATGGATTGGTGGATGAGCAAGTGGATGGATGGACAAACAATGGATTAGTGGGTTGGTTACCAGATGGGTTGGTGGTTAAGTTAGTAGATGAATGGATAAACTATTTGGCAGATGCATGGGTGGGCAGGGAGACTGATGATCTTGCCTAATTTGTGCATAAATGTAGTCTACTCCTTTTTCCCATTAGATTATAATTTCTGTGTGTGGGGTGGGGGTTGTTTTTAAAGGCAGGGATCATTTCTCCCATGTGGCCCTGGCCACAGCTCAACCAGAGCAGGAGGCTGCTTGGGTTGGCTGCAGGGAGCCCTGTCCCCTGCTCTTAGTGTCTGTCTCCCCCACTAGGCTCGGAACAGCTGCCCTGGCTCCTTGGACCCCAGTGCCTTCCTGAGCTCTGACTTCCTCCATCCTGAAGACCCCAAGCCCAAGCTCCCGCCCCCTCCTGCCCCACCACCTCTCCTCCAGTACCCTACCCCTGCCAAGGTGCCAGGCCTGGAGCCCTGCGCCCCGCCCTCCTTCCCGCCCCTGGCTCCGCCCCCTGCCTTGCTGCAGGAGGAGCCCCTCTTCTCTGCCAGGTTTCCCTTCGCTGCAGTCCCCCCTGCCCCAGGAGCATCCCTACTGCCGGCTCCCACAGCCTTCCCACCTGTGCAGCCTGCCCCAGGCCCTGCCCCTGTGGCATTCCCCTTAGACCATCTGCCCTCGGGGTACCCAGAGCCAGCCTTGGGCCCTCACTTCGCAGTGCCTCAGGGTGTGCAGCCCCGAGGCAAGCCCCCCACCCCATCCTCCAGGGGACGGAAGGCCGGTGGCCCCACCTTGGCCCCTGCCACTGCCAGAAGCAACAACCCCTGCCTCACGCAGCTGCTCAGGAGAGGTGAGATGGAGGGGCAGGGCCTGGAGGGAGGGGGTGGGGATGAGGGGGCGACCTTGGGGTGGGGGCTGGGAGAGCCCAGGGCGAGTTCCTTCCAGGGTGGGCTTAGCAGGTGGGCTGTATGTGAAAGGGGTGGGCTTGCAGGAGGGGGGTCTTGAGCCACCTTGGGCTTGGGCCAGCCCCAGCAGCCCTCACGGTCCTGCCTGTGCACAGCCAAGCCTGAGCAAGCCCTGGAACCACCGCTGGCGCCCAGTGCCCTCCTGCGGGCCCCAGGGTCTCCGGTAAGATGGCGGGCACTGGGAGGTGAGGGGAGCCCAGAGACTCTACCCCACTCTCTGCCCTTCTCCATCCAGCAGGAGACCATCTCCGAGTTCCCCTGTGCCTTCTTTCCTCCAAACCCGGTCCCTACACCACCCCGACCACCTCCAGCCCCGACCACATTGGTCCCTCCCAGGCCCCTGATTGTCCCCAAAGCAGAGCGGCTGTCACCTCCAGCACCTGGCGGTAAAGAGGGTTGCAGGGATTGGGGAATACAGGGGGTGGAGGGAGAAGAAGGATAAAGGACAACTGTGTCTGGGGCCAGGATGAGAGGAACAAGGCAACGGGACCCTCTCCCCTGTGTGTTGGTCTGTCTGTGGGTCTGTCTCTGACACAGGCAGCGAACGGCGGAGGTCAGGGGAGCTCAACTCCATACCAGCCCCAGGGGCGCTGAGTGTCAGCGTCTCCCCCCCTCAGCCCATCCTTTGCCGGGGCCGTCCTGACAATAACAAGGTGGGCACCATCCCCGGCCTGAGACTGGTTTGCTACCCCAGCCCCTCCCAGGCTCCTTCCTAGGCTCACTCCTCTGTTTGCTCCCCAAGACTGAGAACCGTCGCATCACGCACATATCTGCGGAGCAGAAGCGTCGCTTCAATATCAAGTTGGGGTTCGACACCCTGCACGGGCTCGTGGGCACACTGAATGCCCAGCCCAGCCTCAAGGTGAGCCCCTAGCCACAGGGCCCCTTCCTGGGCGGCTCCCCCAGCAAGACCAGATCCCAGGTCCTCCAGACACTCTGGTAGGACCACCTCCAGCACGGAGGCCCACACTGGTGGCACCCGCAGGTGAGCAAAGCAACCACGCTGCAGAAGACAGCCGAGTACATCCTCATGCTGCAGCAGGAGAGGGCGGCCATGCTGGAGGAGGCCCAGCAGCTGCGGGACGAGATCGAGGAGCTCAATGCCGCCATCAGGTAGGCAGGGGCTGGGCGGGTGGCCGGGGTAAGGGGGACATGTGGCCACTGAACCCCCAGCCCCTCACCCGCTCCACGCCCCTAGCCTGTGCCAGCAGCAGCTGCCCGCCACCGGGGTGCCCATCACACACCAGCGCTTTGACCAGATGCGAGACATGTTCGACGACTACGTCCGGACCCGAACACTGCAGAACTGGAAGTTCTGGGTAGTATCCTCACTTAGACCAGTGGCCTGGAGGAGCAGGGACAGCTGCAACGGAGGGCTACTTGGGCCCAGGGAAGGGGCTGTGGTTCTGCCCCCTGCTTTCAGGCCTTTGGCCAGCAGCATGGCCTGGAGGTGGAGCTAAAAGGGAGACTGAGGAAGGAGCCCTGGGCAAGAGCAGCCAAAGCCTGGCTTTCAGGAAGCGCTGGGGTGTCCTTAAGAACCCAAAGTGGGTGGTGTGACACCTGAGAAGACTTAGAAGCCACAGGGTCAAGGTCTTGACTGAGCCAAGGCAGGGATCTCAGGGATACAGGACAGTCCAGCATGAGCAAGGGCTGTGGAAGAGCCAGAGAGCTGGACCACCATTGGCAGGATGGGAGGAGGCACAGCAGGAGTCCTTGGGGTCAAGGTTAGACAGTTCCGGGTTCTTTTTCCCCTGGTTTGGGTCAGATGTCAAGGCTCCATGTGAGGTGGTGGGGACATCATGTGGACCACAGGCCTGCTCCTTGACCCGGGCCCAGTTCAGCGTCCTCATCCGGCCTCTCTTCGAGTCCTTCAATGGGATGGTGTCCACGTCAAGTTTGCACAGCCTCCGCCAGACATCGCTGGCCTGGCTGGACCAGTATTGCTCCCTGCCTGCCCTCCGGCCAAGTGCGTGAGCCCCCACCTGCCCACTCATGGAAGTGTCAGGCCTCAGGGGAGGGGGTTCCACCCTGCTCAGGCCCTGTTCCAACCTCCCTTCAACACAGACTAGGGTTTGGGGCCCTTCCACCAGGCCCCCTGGATGATCCTCCAGCCACCAGGGTAACTACAGGGAGGTGTCTCTGTCTCTCCTCAGCTGTCCTGAACTCCCTGCGCCAGCTGAGCGCTTCAACCAGCATTCTAACTGATCCCAGCCGTGTGCCTGAGCAAGCCACGAGGGCAGTCACAGAGGGTCCTGTCGGCAGACCACTATAGTCCTGGCAGATGACGCTGAGCTCCAGTGACAACTTGCTGGGCACTCTCCTCCTGTCCCAGGCTCTGACTGGCTCCTTCCCTGAGGGTTGAATGGGACCCAGGTCTCCCACCTCCTAGAGGCCAAGAGGAGGCGTGTCCCTGTCCCTGCTGTACCACTGATGTGATTCTGGGCCACTCGCAGCCCCATCTCTGGATTTCTATTTCCATTCAGCAAAATGGGGATAGGGGAAGGTTCAGCCACCAGATGACCCCAAGGCAGCTGTGACACTGGGGACCTAAGCTGCCAGCTCAGAGAAGGAGGAGGACAGCCCTCTTTCCCTGTCACTTCTGCCTGCTCCTCCACAGGGGCCACCAGCCTCAGTTCCTGAGCAGGGAGGCAGATAGGAGGGTCTCCCTCTGCTCCTGCTGCCAAGCTGCAGGGCTGCAGGAGGCTTCCCTTGGGTGAGGCCAGGGGGGCCTGGTGCCAGGAGAGACCAGGGCAGGGGTAGCCACAGCAGGACAGGCATCTTGTGTGAGTGTGGCTGTGTGCGTGTGGGTTTTATAAATAATTCTTGATCAATAAAAGAAGAAAATGCCTGCCTGTGGGATGGCGGCGTGACTGTCAACGTGTGTCACTCTGGGTGGTCACCTCTGCTGACAGTGGAAGGTGCCTTTGTAGAGGGCCATGTGGATTGTGAAATGATCTTAGCTTTTACTCTGATCTAGAAGCTGCTGGAAGGTTTTGGGTGGAGGTGAAACTTCTTTCCAGGAGCTCCTGGGTGCTGAGCTGAGAACGGGAAGAGGCAGGGAAACCCACCCCCTGGAAGTCCTCCTCCGTAGACAGCAGAAGGCTCCATGGGTTCCGTGTCTTTGGAGTTGGAAGACAGCAGAGCCAGGACCAAGGAGTGGAAGTGACCACCCTGCTGTGTGAGGGGACAAGTAGAGGGTGGATAGCTACTTGGTTGGGATGCCCTAGAAGGAACTGGTACTTCAGGTGTGGAGTCGCATGAGGAGGCTAAGGCCCCCATGCTTCTCCTTCCTTCATTCATAAAACAAGCGTTGCCCCAGGGACTGTAGTGGGGCCCGGCCAGGGCAGTGGCTCTGTGGATTCTGTTCATTGCTGTATCCCTCCTCCTGCAGTTGGCATCCAAGCCTGCAGGTTGGGATCCTTTTACATCTTCTCAGAACTTCTGGAGACACTTTCAGATATAAATAGCAGACAGAGCTTTCTGTGGCCTTTCCTTTTCCCTCATTCATTTGAAAAAGAACACTAATTTGGCCATGGTGGCCATACCTGTGATCCCAGGAGGCTGAGGCAGGAGGAGTRCAAATTCAAGGCCAGCCTGGGCAACTTAGTGAGATCCTCTGGAACTTGGAAAGACCTTGTCTCAAAATAAAATACAAAAAGGGCTGGGGATGTGGCTCCATGGTAAAGTACCCCTGGGTTCAATCTCAGTATCAAAAAGAACAAAAGCAATAATTGTTGAACATTTCTAGCATTTATTATGTGCAGAGCATTCTTTTAAGTGATTTGGGTGTTAACTCATTTCATCCTTACTGGTGGGTTGTGAGGATTTCCCAGTAAATCTAAACTGGGTGTGGCCATGCATGCCTGGAACCTCAGCTGCACAGGAGGCTGAGGCAGGAGGACTGCTTGAGCCCAGGGGCTCCAGGGCAACCTGGGCAGTAGACTAGGACCCCATCTCTTAAAAAATGAGTAAAATATACAATGCATCTACAATGGTGCCTGGTATGTAACACTATGTAAGTTATAACAATATTATTATCTGCATTTTAGAGCTGGGAAACTGAGGCACAGAAGGGTTAAGCYACTTGCCCTAGGTAGAATGGTTTGTGAGCCACTCAACGCTGCTCCAGAGGTGGCTTCGGCCACTCTGCCRTGGGGGTGGTGGGTGTGCCCAGCTTCTGGCGCTCTTTGCTGCTGCGTCCTTCCAGGACATTCTCCATAAGACACACCCTCAATCCTGCTCAAGATGGCTTCTTCCCTTGAAAGTGTGCTTACACTCGTTGGCTGTCTCCCCTCCTCTCCCACGTGTCCATCGGACCCTGCCCAATTTAGGCTCCCCCTCCTCCTAGAACCCCCCAGCTGGACTCCTGCCTCCACTCTGCTCCCACTGAGCTCATTTCCGACTGAGTCTCTGCTTGAAAAATCCAGGTGCGCTTCTGGCTTCCTCTGGGCCCTTGGCTTTCTTGAACCATTCTCTCTCCAGACGGTTCTTTCTCCCTGACAGTGCCTTCTGGGTTTCTGCTGCCTCTTCCTCAGCCTGTCCTGCCCTGGCTCCCTTTTCCTCTTGCTCTGGGGCAAATGCTGGGCCTTGCTCTGGGGGAAGCCCCTTCAGCCTCTCTGCTAAGGACCTCCTCCTCCATGTCTATCTCTGCTTCTCCCTAGAGCTATATACAACCACATGGGCCGCCCTGACACCTCCTTCCAGATGTTCTCCAGCTCCCTTGAATTTGTGGTGACTTGAGCTGGTCCTCTCTATTCTTGGGACAGGAGCCATCACCCAAACTTGTGTGGGCTTGAAGCAGATATCTTCAACCCTTTCCCACATCCCACTGCCCTGTGCTACCTCTTCCTAAGGCCTGGCCAGTTGACTAAGCCTTTTCCTGTCAGCCATCCCCTGGTCCATAAAACATCACCTTTCCATCTACTCTAGCATTTGCCTTCTGTGTCCCTGCCAGCTGCTTCTCAAACTTACCTGTGCGATCGAATAACTTGGGGGTGCTTCAAAAAAATCTTCATGCCCTGATCCAGCCTGAACGACTCAGATCAGAATCCCAGGTGTGATGCTTAGACACTGGCAGTTTTGAAAGTGCTTCCAACATTCAGCCAAGGTCAAGAACTCTAATAGAAGCTTTCAGCTGTGAATAACGTGTAGCTGGGGCTCGGATTAGTTCCAATCAGAGGTTTTGCTTTATTTTCTGGTACTGAGGATGGAAGCCAGGATCTCATACAAGCTAGGTAAGTGCTCTGCCGCCGAATTATACTCAGCCAGARGTTCTTAAACTTTACTGTGCAACAGAATCAACTAGGGAGTTTGTTAAAATACAGATTGCTGGGCCTCACCTCTAAGTTTCCCAGTAGCAGGTCAAGGATGGAGTTTAAGAATGTGCATGCCTGGTATTCCTGGACCACACTTTGAGAACCACTATCTATGTGTGTTTTTTTTTTTAATTTTAATTTGTTACATATGACAACAGAAAGCATTACAATTCATATTACACATATAGAGCACAATTTTTCATATCTCTGGTTGTACATGAAAACCACTATTTAAATAATGAGGAATCTGATTACTTTGTCTAACACATGCTTGCCCCTGTGGAGACCAGCCTTCTGAGCACATGTTCAAGGTGCAACTTCCCCCAGCCTCCTTTCTCCACAGTCTCCCTCCCTTCACATTACAAGCGGTTATGAGTCTTTTGGGGTCTTGGGCTGCAGCATCCTACTTTGCCCTCACAAGGCATTATCCTCCCACAAGGGAGGCAGGCTGAGACTCCTTCCCTACCCAGAATTCCCTCCCTCCCTCTGCCTCACCTCTCCATATGCCGATGCTTGAAGTTACAGCTTGACTGTACAGGTCAGCCAAGGCCCCCTGTCCTTGGCATCCTCTCCCTGATCCACCTAGCTCCCCCAAATCCTACTTTGTGTCCATGTCCTGCCTGACTTTGATCTTGGCTTCCAAATGGGCTACAGCACATGAGGGTTAGCACAAGGCTTCATGGGAGGAGTATGGATCTTGGAGCACAGCAGAACTAGGTCTGACTAGGGATTCTCTCCCTGCTTCCTTGTTGATCTGGGGCAAGTTACTTGACCTGATCCTGTTATTTTTTTCCTGAGTCTGATTAAAACTAAATTATTTCATAACATCACCTATTTTTTAGGGGGGGGTAGTACTGGGTATCAAACCCAGGGAGGGATTCATGCATGCCAGACATGCACTCTAGCACTGAGCTACATCCACAGCTCTGACATCACCTGTCTTAAAAGCCACTGCTGTGAACGGATTTTGTAGCCTTGCCTGAGCTGTACAAAGAGGGCTGCTCTTGCTTTTCTTTGTACCATATTCATGAATTGCAACAAGTCCCCAGGTTCTCTCCCTACTTGTGCCACCTTGGGAACATCACCCGACTTCATATAGTCTGTCTCCTAATCAGTGGAGACAACGTGGGATTAAAGAAACCCAAAACTGCTGGATCAATAAATGTCCCATGCAATATGCTTTTAAAAGTAAAAGCTTGGCCTCTAGATGGTGGCGAAAGATGGTGGTTCATGGCCATGCCTACACTTCTAAATAGCAAGTCAGTGAGGAAAAGCCCCAGGAGGCTCTGAACACCCGTCTCCTGGCACTCCCCACCCCACTGCCCACAACTGAGTCAATGTCAGTTCCCTGCAAAGGACAAAAGGGAAGGAAATGAAGCTGCTCCATTTGCCTTCTGACTGGATCTGTTTCCTCACCCGAGACTGCGAGACTGCGGCTGTGTCTGTCAGTCAGCCTGTGGTAACCTGTCTCCTTAGAGGGTCCTTATAAATTAAAGCTGCAGGGCTTGGACGGTGAGGAAAGGCAGCTCCTTGGTGGAGATGGAAATATTAGAAGCTGGAATACTGATCCTGGTACTTCTGTTTGCTCTGGGCTGTGGGGCTGGGAGTCCAAGGAGTATGACCATACTGGGAATATCCCCTTTCCAGCCATGCAGGTCTAATCCAAATTCTCTCAATCTTTTTTGTCCTTTTTGGCAAAATCTGAAAAAAACCTCTGTAGATTATTGTATCAGTGTCAAGTTCCTGGTTGTGATCTTCTACTACAGTTTTGCGAAATGTTACTATTGGATGAAACTGAGTGGAAATGTCCTTGGGACCTCTTCATTTTTTCAACTACCTGTTGATTCTATAATTATTATTATTATTATTATTATTATATTTTGATTAAGAAGCTTTCAGAGGCTGGGGGTGCTCAGTGCTTGTCTAGCATATGTGAGGCCCTAGGTTCAATCCCCAACACTGTAAAAAATAAAATCTGCTTTTCAACTTCCTTTCCCCTCCCCAGGCCATCCCCAGCCCAGGCTCTTTTCAACTCCTCATATCCTTGCAGCTACTTCCGGGTTTGTCTTTTTGTCTTTACACATCCAGAGAATCCAGAAATGGATTTTGCCCCACTGCCTCCTGTGATCCCACATGCTGGATGGAGCTGGCAGTTGAGGCCTTGCAGACTTTCGGACCTTGTCTGCCATCTTTTTATCGTGTTCATGCCCTGCCTCCCTACAACATCCTTGTTCTTCAGGTCTTTGCTAGGATGCTCCCCGCTCCGATGCCAGGACTACCCTTCTGCCCCTTCAGTAACAGCAAGAGCCCATCTAACTTTCACCTGTTGCAAAGACTCTCCCACGAGTCAAATGCGAATAAAGCCCCTGCTCTGCTTCCTTGAAAGGATCCAGTGTGGCAAGGTCAGAATAAGCCTTTAATAAACTGTTATCAGCAAGTTACTCAAGATAGGAATGACAAGGACCTGCAGATCTCACTACCTGCACCCTCAGCATCTGCACGACCTCCGCAGCCCGACGCCCGCGGATCACCAGGGTCCGYCCTCAGGACACGCCCACATCTGGCACCGCCTCGCAAGAAGCGCCCAAGGCCAGGCCCCGCCCTTCGATTGGGCGCGCTAATGGATAGGCCACGCCCCTCGAGGTGCCCTCCAACCGTCTGGAGGAAGGGGCTCCAGGCCCTCCGACGGCCAGACCCCGCCCCTCAAAAGCTTTCAACGGGCAGGCCCCGCCCCTCCGGGAACCGCCAACCGCCAGGCCCCTCCCCTTGAGGCGCGCTAACGGCAAGGCYCCGCCCCCGCGTGCGCGGAGACGTGCGGGCGCCAGCGTAGTCGGCGGCTGAGGTGGCAGCGTGCGGGCGACATGGAGCTGCCTCAGATGCCGGAGCTGATGGGGCTGTCCCTGTTGGTCGGACTGCTGGCCCTGATGGCCACGGCGGCGGTAGCGCGGGGGTGGCTGCGCGCCGAGGAGGAGAGGGGCGGTCGGCCGGTCCGTAAGTAGGGCCTGGCGGGGAGGGGCCGCGCGCTGGGTGTCCGCGTGGGGCAGCCGGCGGCTTGGGCCGGCGCAGGCCGGGGATCCTAGGCCTCAGTTTCTCCCGTGGTGAAGTGAGCCTCCTCCCAGAGGCCGGGCGCCGCGTTGGCGGGCCGGCCGCACCCCAGGGCAGGGCTTGTTGGGACCAGGGCCCTGTGCCGCGGCCCTCTGGCAGGACAAGGCCACGCTGCTTTGGTCGCCC